ATTTTATTTATTTATTTTACTCGAGTATTTACTTAGGCATGCTTCTTTCTGCGAAATTCTTGTCTCTTGGGGTTGGTTTTGCTCGTGGTCAGCCTCATCTTTATTCTGACCACATTTGACTCGACTGGTCGTGTATGGCGTCACCATCCAGGTCTGTGGTGTATGGAAGAGGGTGCGAGCTCACGACGTCTAAATCGCGCTCAAGCACATCGCCTCATAGCTCGTCTGTGGCGTCGACGAATCCGATGTCTAGCTTGTCTAAGGAACGCTTGCAGGCGACTGGACTTAGATACCAAAAGAAGTAGTCGGGATGCAATGCTGCTTGTCTCCGATATGGTCGGAACGTATTTCATGGCACGTTTTCGTTTCTAACCTTAGATTATGTGACGTTATCAGAGAAACTTTTATTTGCTTGTTGCCTCTAGACGAATTTGGTTGCCTCCGACCTTCTTGCGGGATTGCTACTTCTGCGATGGCAATCACGTCAGTGGATTGGCTGTGAAAGTCGGGTTCCACTACAGCGCGTCCTTGAAGACTCGGATATATATGATCCGGTAATCTCAATGAAGGTCCCTTATGTTTGTTCACGTCCGTTGCCGCACAATTTCAATGCCCTGCATGGATGCTTTACTTGTTCCTATGCTCACTTTTCCTTTGCATCTTGCGTACACATACTTCTTTCGCATCAAATTGGAAACAACTATCGCGTGCATTTTATTGCTTATAGCATTGTTTGCAGCAGGCATGGAGGTGATTGTACTGTTACTTTTTTCCTCTGACCTCGATTCGGCATAGAAATACTGCTCAGAACGGTATCACTCCAGCTTGACTTTCTAAAATTGGAGTCGTAATTGTTCTAATTCTGTTTTCAATAATGTCATCTATGATATTGCTTAAAATCTTCTGTTGACGCCACAATAATGAACAGTCAAGACCATGGCTTTGATACTTCGCAATCAGCGTGACCCACTTTCTCCAAGTACTTGTCGTGACGGATCGTTTTATAACCCAATATCTCATCTGGATGGTTCACTTTTAGTTTGGTTAACCCAGTGTTGTAATGTCTCAGTTGTGGTGTGAGTAAACCAGGTCTTTTCTGAAACAAACAACATAAACTCTCCTCAAATGGTCTTTGGAGTTTTCCTCGATCACGCTAACATGAGGTTGTATTTCATTTTATAAAAGGCTTGGACAGCTACCGACATGGTTAGAACATTGTAAATAAGAAAAGGGCTTTTTGTTGCGGTACTTCATGTGGCTTTGATCTCAAGGTGTTTTGGTTTATTGCACAGCGCAATCGCTAAGTATTTTTTTTTCCACTCTGATGTATTCTGATTGGTTCTGTGTTCTTTTTTGTTTTTACTGCTGTTGTTTCTTGTTTCCTTTGCCTTCATACTTTTGGTCGACGTAATCTTATTTTTGAATTGC